TTTAATACGTTCTGATCAAAGTGCGTCTGAACGTGCCTCTCGAAGCCTTGCTGGTCGTAGTCGGGGGGGAACTGCTCGCTGCACATGGGGCAGACCTTCCAGTGGCTCTCGACGTGCTCCTCAAACTTGCTCTGGTCATAGTTGGGCGGGAACATCACATCGCAAAGAGGGCACTTCTTGTGCACGTCAAAGCTGCACGAGGAGGCGGAGAGAAAGAGAGGAGGAAGCAGTTACTTCATCTGTTACCGCAAAGGAAAATGTAAAAGCGGGATCCCGTTGCCACCGAGGTCAAGAGCTTTGCTACGGATTTAAATTTGAGCGGACTTGCTACCTAAGCGAGTATCACACAGTGAATCTGAACGTCTCTGCTGAATGCACTCCATACAGTTAAAGCAGCTTTACATGGGAATTCCAAAATAACCTGGCAGGTTTGACATCATTCCAGCTACCACTGAATCCGAATCTATTGAATGCCTTAATGGCCAGGCAGTTTCATGGGAAACCACTCTCTCTGCTCATAAATGCTCACTCTTAGCAAACAGAACACTTTATAAAAGCTCTAAACTTAGGTTCACAATTAGGTTGGAAAGAGAGGGGGGGTAAAAAACCCCAAAGTTATTCATTTACTGAAGAAATTGTCCACATTCCGTCAAAATAAGGTACAACACAAACAGTCCGCCCAGTCTAACAGCATATTCTCTCCTGACAGCTACCCGTAAACCAAACGCTTACTGAAAATGCTTCATGGTTTTTCATCTCCGCCCCCCACCCTTGAGTAAAAAAGCCCGGTTACACAGAAACCTACCCGTGCCATCAGAGACCAATAAAAGGTAACATTTACCTGGAATCAAAGCAGAAACCTGTTCCACGTTCGTGCAAGAGAAGACTCGGAGGATCAGGAGCAGAAGGTACAGTGTTGTCATCATCCTATTTTAAAAAAAAGGGAAATATTTTAAGTCATACCCACTGGGAACAGCTTTTTTCTTTCCCCGCCAAATACATTTTTGCTACCAAGCATAAACATGGATGAAGTTTATGCCGCAGAGATGATAAAGCGGAAGGTAAGTTTTACTGTAGCAGAGGGAAGGGAGACCGTGGTTGATGAACGTGAACAGCTAAGCACAGCCTTCCTTCCGAGCGGGCAGCCGGAGCAGGAACCCGCCCCAGTACTGCCAGGATGCTGCGACCAAAACACAGCGACCTGGGCAATGCCGGTCACCTCGCTGTGAGTGCCCGCGGCCGAGACGGAGCAGAAAAGACCTGGGTTAAACTGAACGCAGGGCATCCCGCTACAAACCACAACAGGGTTTCATCGAGAGATAAAACTCAAAACCAAAATTCTAGGCAAGAGAACATCAAGTCAGGCTTTAAAAATCCGTCCATTTAAATTTCAGTGGTTTCACCTCCCAAGGGTCGGTTTTGAGCGACCTGCCCGTGCTGCTCTCGGCGGCTGAGCAGCCCCCGTGCTCCCGCTGCCGCCAGGCACAGCAGCTACGCCGCGGGGTTTGGCTGCTTCCTCCCGCCGGCTCCGTCCCTTCGCAGGCACCGACAGCTCCTCGACAGCCGCAGCAGGCGCCGACGGGGCGCTCTGCTCCGCTGACGGACGGGGAGGTTTGCATGGGAGCTTCTCGCAGGTCAGGAGGGCAGCTCGGCCTCCAGGGGACACGCTGCTCCTCTCCCCTCGCAACAGAAGAGGAAGAAACCTGCCTGCAACGGGGAGTTCTCCCGCAGAGATTCCGAGAGCTCCCTTCTGACAAGCAAGGGGTCAGAGCACGTGCGTTTTGCAGGTTTTTGGGCTGTTGTGGGGTTTTTTACCATTTTACTCTGTGATAACATTATTATGAATTAAGATTTAAATAAGCACAATGATGTAAGCAAACATGATTAGGGGAAGAAAACGGCACAGAAGGAAAATAAGACAGCAAGAAGAAAACCAGAACTGTGTTTGTAAACCCATTCTTTATGCAGTGTAAACCTATTTACTATACGGCATCTCTCTTCTATTCTGCTATAGGTAGTGCAGCACAAAACCCACCCATTTCCAGGTGGGACTACAGGCAAATTCAGCAAGATTTTTGAAACTCCAAGTTCATTTTCCTTTTTATCTCAAAGACATCTTGCATGCAAGAATTATGAATTATCTCAGCAGATCTTCCCAAAGGGATGTGCGAGGGACTGTACGTTACAGCATCCACACTCTACAGATAACTAACACGTATATCCAAACATATTTCATTTCCAGGCTAACATGCTTCGTCCTTACGAAGAGTTAATGGAAACGGGGCAGGATGGGAAGACTCCCTCAATATTTTTCTTCTCCTGACAACAGCTGTTTAGCTCCAACCATTTAACGTTTCCATTAAGCAGCTAGTGGGGCTTGCTGTGACAGATGCTAGCAACAGACACACTTTCCTGTCTGACTTGCTTGCTTTGCACCTGCAGTAAAAAGGGCATATGGGTTTTAAAATATTATTTGTTCCTTTTGTCACGGAAGAGGTAGGGTATACATATTAAAGAAGAAAAAATATTTAAAGTACTCATGCTACAATGCTACAGCTCATATAGCGCCAAAAAAATGACAAATTTGCCAAATACCAGACTGTAAGCGGTCCAGGACTTATCTGAGAAAACGGATGTGCATCTTCCATCAAAAAAAATAGTTCCACTACAAACACAGGCCCAATTAACATTTAAATCCTTTAGAAAAGGCTTTCTTACAATTCTTTACTCTTGGCCACTTAATTACTCCTTGAACGCAGGGCATTTTTGTCACAGCACTTATTAATACCTGGTTACAAATGCCAAGGTGGACAAGGTACTTCTCTGGTGAAAGGGCTCCTCAGCCTCAAATTCCTTCCATAAGCATTCTTTGCAAGAGATTAGCAGACCCAATGATGAACGCATGGGTTATTTGTTATATTATATTAAGGGTTATTCATTTCAGTTGTGTAAGGAGTTGAGATTTACCAATACTAAATATTAACTTGGCATAGAAGGGCTTTAACCAAAATGGTGGGGCTAACAGGATGCAGATGGGTGTCTCTTTCCCCATTCAGAATTATTAATGCATTCAACCAAACCCAACTTTTAGAAAGTTTTACGCAGACCGGAAAGAAACCGCGTACCGGAAGGCCCAAGCGCAACCAAACCCACAACTCATCGTTCGTGGAGTTAATCCATCTTCCATACAAGTGTCAGAATACTACAGAAATTTTAGTTCCCCTGTCAGAAAAGGAAACCTCTCAGTCTTCTTGCATGCACTACACGGAGATTAAAACGTACTGAGTGCAAGTGAAG